CCTCTACCTGGCTGGATATTTGGGACAATATTAGGGTGATGGTGATGTCACCACATTCCTGGTCTTCCTATGTTTGCATTCACTTATCCCTTGCATCTTGCACAAGGATGCTTCCGTCCTCTCTAGATTTATTCCCTTTGATACGTTAAAAAACACTGGGGTGTGGTCCAGAATCTTCTTCTCCGTCGTCTACAACCAATTTGAATCTTGACAACTTGTTTTTGAAACCAGTCGTCACCATGTTCACCCCAAGTGGTTATGGAAAATGATTTTCATCCACTGCCATCTTCTTCTTAGCCTCGAACGTGATTCGTCCTGACTCGATGACATCCTGTAATACATGACGAAAAACCAAGCAATTATTAGTCAAATGTGACAATGCATTGTGCCATTTACAATATTTTTTACCTTAATTTGTTCAGGGTCCAGCAATTTGTGCTTGTCACTTAGTTTTATCTGCTTATCCTTATATAATTTATCGAATTTAAGGTCAGCCTGGGTCACGTCAAATAAGAACACCCTAGCCTCTCTATTTTCGTTTTTTATAGGCTCATCATTACCTCATGTTCTAAATTTGGCCATTATAGTTCAAGCTTATACATCTCCCTTAACCAATTCGACCAGACATACTTATGTCTGATCGTAATATTCGTCATTAACGGCATGGACGTCGAAGTTTGGGTCTCTATAATAAGTCCCTTTACTAGAGTTTTTCATATGTTCTTCTTCTCTTATCAATCTCTCATATCTAATTACATTAGCACTCAGTTGAAAAAGGTCAGGAAATTCCCTGTTTTGAAATTTCTTTTTTAAATCGAAACTCAAGCAATTTTGAGTGATTTTGGCGAATTCCTTTTCGGGTAGAGATTAAAACATTTGCTCTTGACTATTTTAAATCTCTGAAGGAAGCTTTCTGTCAATTCATTTGACATTTGACGTAAATTTGTCAAATCGACCAAAGTAACTTCAGATTCAGTTTTGTAAAACTGAGCGTGGAATAATTGTTCTAGTTGTTGCCATGTTTAAACTGAATTTGCTGGCGAGTTAATGAACCATGAGAAGGCTACTCATATTAACGAACTAGGGAACAGTCTCATTTTATGGTCATTGGTCACTTCACCACTTTGCAGTATGAATCGCCCTATATGTTCCAGAGTAGAAACCTCTCCCAGACCGATAAATAGTGAAAATTCTGGTACTTTGTACCATCTAGGCCACAGATAAGCATGATCTACCCAATTAGGATATGATTTTGTGTAAGTCGGCCTAATAAAAGGACGTGTCCCACAAACCATTTGATCCGTACTATCTCCATAATTTGATTCTTCAACATAACATTGGGA